AATACGTATTTTTTTGACATGATAATCGAGGAAATGAGCTCTTATTCGAATAAGTTGAGCTAGCAATCTCGCAAACGACTGGTTGTGAGTTGACAACAAACAAACATGAGACCATCTAGTTGATGCATCAACTAAAACCATAAAATACCTAAATGGTCGACAGGATGAGTGTATTGGCCCACACATATCACCATGTATACACTCTAAAAAATTGATATATTCATTTCTAGATTTTGTTAGTGATGATCGAATTATCAATTTCCCTTGCGAGCAAGAGTTGCATGATAATTCATTTGATTGAATAATTTCCCGACCCATTAATTGATTACCACATGAATTTTCAATTATTTTTCACATCATTATATAGTCAGGATGGCCCAACCGATCATGCCAAATTAGAAATTTATCATTATTTGTAAACTTCTGGTTTACCGTTGTTAATATTGAAACTTACTTTCCTACCATGCTTCGTGCACGGTTTCAATTCGTTTGTAATATAAGATTATCCAATAATCCACTTCGATTATGGTATTAGCATATGTAATTGGTTGTATAAAATTTACAAATGAATAATATTTTGAACTCTTGGTTCATATTGATTTGTACGGGGATCAAGATTTAAAAATGTTCATTTGCACTTCTCGTTCATGATTTCAGCTGCTTATTCCCCCCCCCCCCCCCCCCCCCCTACTGGACTACAATCAAGTATTTTATTATTTTCTCAAATTATATCCTCAAAATTGGGTTCATATCAATTATATTTTTCCAATATTCTTTCATGACTCATCTTAATATATTATATTGAAGTAATTGGAATATACACAACACATTCAAATGTTCACGTAGATGAGAAATATTAGAATAAATGGTAAGTTAAAGGAGGGTTAAGATACAATATCTTGTTGGCTTGATGCGAATAAATATTTAATGTACTTGATTGCATGTTCCCAAAGCCTAATTTAGAAATTATAATATCATAAGTACCAATGATACAACTGACTTTAGACGTCTAAAGAATTGATCTTCAAGTCCATTTTTTCATATGAACATATACTACAAGATGTTTAATATCAATTTTTAATAATATATGTTATACTTATCAAGAAAGTTTTGAAAAGAAAAATTTCAGAAAATGAGATCGTTGTTTGAGAAAACAATTTCACAAAATTCTTGTTATAAGTAGACGATAAATATTTTGCATGATAATTTAGTCAACGCAACAATTAATGTCATGAAAAACTCAATTTATCAGATTTTTAATTTCCTTTAGAAACTCGTAAATATTTACTGGATTGAAGAAACTTCTAGTTCTTCAATATTAATTATTCGCATCATATCATATCTGAGATGACTCAACCGATTTTACCAACGACACATGTAAATATAATTTGTAAACTTTTAATTTACAATGGCGTGTGCTTCAATTGTACCAATATAAGTGTAGCACAAACTTGAGGAAAAAATCGGTAGCTTTTCTATTATGCATTTTTAGTCCAAATTCTATTATGTAATACAAAGATATTCAATACCTCCAATATAATTCATGTGAATTATCTATGACCAAAATATTTATTTCACATAGCAACTTTATACAATAAAAAAAAATCATACAAGTTAATTATATAAACCAAGTCACTAAGACTAATTCTATTGTTTGAATAGTACCTAGGGATATGGAGAGTGAGGTTGCTCTGTTAGTAATAATAGAATTCTGACTCTCTCAACATTAGACTCTTACGGTCTCAAAACTGACCTTTTATTTTCTCCACTGACCTTCTATTTTCTCCTCTAGTAATCGATGTCTCAATTCTCTTGTTAAAATATCAATATTTAAAAATAATAAGATATAAAGAAATTGTATTAATAAGACTTTGTTTAATACGAGGTATTACAATTGAGGACACATATTAAACATTGATCATCCTAATTTTAGAGCATCAAGAACTATATCTAATTTGTGTAATTGTTGACAATATATTCAAAACTAATATAATAGTATCTCATGATTAAACACTTTAATCATACACATGCATATGAACATATTATCATATAATTATCAAAATAAGACAAAATCATGTCACTAAAATTATATCATCATATAATTAATTTGTTTTATGATCCTTCAAGGATGTTTGATAAATTCTTCTGAAACTATATAAATAATTTGTTTTGTTATTCTTCAGAGATGTTTGATAAATTTTTGGGGAACTATATAAATAATTTGTTATAAATAATTATCAAACAATATAACTATCCTTCCGGGATTCTTCTAGAATGACTATCTTTGTTATAAAAAAATCTTTAGAAAGTTTAGAAAATTAATTCATATGAGCTAAAAAAATATAAAAAATAAGGGAAAATAGACATCCACAACCATTTAATATTATTCATAACAAAGTTAATATAATTATTATATTTTAGTGAAAGTTATAATAATTCTTCTTGTTCAATTAGAATAGCTTAATTTTTTTAATATGAAGATAATATAATTGTTATGTTTTAGTGAAAGTTATAATAATTCTCCACATTCAATTAGATTGATTTTTCATTTTTCAAACTGTTACTTGATCATAAAAATAGATTGATTTTTCATTTTTCAAACCGTTACTTGGTCATAAAAATAGATTGATTTTTCATATTTCAAACCGTTACTTGGTCATAAAAATAGATTTTTTAATTAGGTTCAAATTAAATTAATAGTATATATCTTTATTAGTTATGAAGTAATCTTATCGCATAAACTTATGACAACTTGGGGGTAATGATGTAGAAAAAAACCAAATATCAAATATTATCACTGGAAATAAAAACCAAATATCTCGGAAACTGAGGACAATGATACCAGGAGGAGGAAAATCATAAATATCATTCATATGTAAGAATGATACAAAATAAACCCAAAATAAATTCCATTAAAATCTTCTTCAAACCAATAAGCAAAGCATATAAATTCCATTAAAATCCTTCTTCAGACCAATAAGCAAAGCATATAAGATAATGGTCATTGCATTACCCGCCAATGGCCAACTAAATGAACACTTGAAAACACAGCCTCAGCCTCAGCCGCCTCCCACACCAGGATCACATTAAATCCCTAATACAATATCTTGTTCATATGGATTGTGATATGCAAAAAAATAAAGTTTTGTCAGTCCATATAAAATAAAGATCTAGTAAAGTGAAATGATGTCATATACATCAAAGAATTACTTCTATGATATATATGTTATGTTCTCAGAGGACAAAGCCTTAACAAAATATTGTCATGTTTGAGTTACGAAACCAATATCATGCAAATGAAAGAATACTACAAAATTGACCCTTAATGGATTCTGTCAAAATCCTTCTTCAGACCCAAACACGACAGTCAAAACAGACTGTACCAGGAACACAGCATATCATGAAATCCTAATTCTCTAGTTTTCTCTTATTTGTCAGCCTAACCATTTTCTCAGGATTTGTCAGCTATCAAATGCTTGGAAATGCATATGATAATTAATTTTTTGTTAAAACATACATTTAATTTTTTGTTTCACCATTGTGTTTCACAAAGTTTTTTTTAAAGACAAAATAAGAATTTATTTCTAACAGAATAGGCATGAGACATGACATACACACCAGTCCAACCCACCAGCAGTTTTACCTAAATACACATTATACAGCAACGTAAAAACATTATACTTTTAGGAACAAGACCAATTAAAGCAAACATCTCCAAACTCAAAACCCAATACACAAACATCACACTGCTAAGCAAATGCCCCATTATATCAGCAATTTTTCAAAGTTATATAGATATCGCATAGCAAAATCAAACAATAAAGAAAAAAAAAGTTGTATATTATGATTACCGGTAGTCATAATCTTATTTATTTGTCTTCATGAAATAGATTGTGATTTTGTCCTTTGTTCCTTGCTCGGCAAAAAAACAAAGTATTATTAGTCATACAAAATAAACTCAATTTACATTTACTTAACCATAAAAATGAAAACAGGATCTTTACCCAATGTTTGCTTGCTTTTACACGCACATAGGGCTAAATTAATGCTTTTGCGAACAATATCACTATACCAGATAATATTTTTCGCCAACGAGTTAAGATAGTATGTTAAAGCCACGCTAAATCTCTACACACAACAAAAATGAGTAGAAATCTCGGAAAAAGAATATAAACACTTTTATATCAATGTTCTCTTTGATCAATTTAAATGTTCTGACCTTTTCACCTAAGTCATCTCTGCACTCCATGACCATACCATTAAATACTACAGAAATATCTGACCTTTTCGCCTTATCCTAACACTCCTACTGAAATAAATCTTGATTCTCAACATCTTGATTCCCACCATCAACAGTAAGATTGGAATTGATATGAATCAAGATGGTATGAATCAAGATGGTATGAATCAAGATACTTGGAATTGATATGAATCAAGATGGTATGAATCAAGATGCTTGGAATTAGGAATTAGCAAGAAAAAAAAGAATTTGACTCAGTAGAAATGCTATGATAAGGCTTCCCTCTGGTGGTGTAGATATTTCTGTTTAGTGGTATGATCATGAGTGGAGAGATGACTTAGCTAAAAAAGTAAAAAAAAACACTTAATATTGCTTGCAGATTTAGTTATAATAAATGGGGAATTACGGGAGCTAATAACAACATTTAAATTGATATTATAGAGAACATTGTCTATGAAACCAGGGTGAAGAGGTAAATATAAAAACGCTTTTATTTCTTCCGTTTATATCGTTATTAGGTTTCTACTTATTTTTGTAGTCATTTTTGTTGAATATAGAGATTTAGTGTGCTTTTAATATACTATCTTAACTTGTTGACGAAAAATACTACCTGTGCTGGAGATACTATCCGCAAAAGCATTAATTTTGTACTACGTGCGTGTAAAAGCAAGCGAACATTGGGTAAAGATCCTGTTTTCATTTCTATGGTTAAGTAAATGTAAATTGAGTTTATTTTGTATGACTAATAATACTTTATTTTTTACGAATCACAATCTATTTCATGAAGACAAAGAAATAGGATTATGACTATACTGTAATCATAATATACAATAGAGTCCTGCTGTAGAGTAACAACAGGCTCGGTAGACGGATTCACATTGTCAGTAGACGGACTCTCGGTAGATGGACTCACAGTCTCAGTCTCAGAAGGATTCACAGTCTCACACCCAGACTCCTCATTTTCTTTTTCTTTTTTGAAAGGAGAAGGAAGGAGAAGGAGAGTAATCACACGAGGGAGTGCTCTCAGAAGAGGGAGAGCTGTCAAATGCATTCTCAGTTACTTTCTCCAAACTATAAGAGCCATTTCCTTTGTCTTTTAATACGGTAACAAAATAAAAAAATGTGTTAAACTAAATATATAAGCAAATCAGATAAATGAAATCATTCTAAATCTTACCCATCAATTTAGATTGGTCATCTAAAAATGTGATTCGAAGAGCCAAGTTCACACCATCAACAATCGTTTGCTTACAGGACTCCGGCGCCTCCTTCAAGAATTAAAACATGGCATTTTAACGTGAGAGGTTGAAATTGTTTTTAACAAAATGTTATTTTTAATGTGAGAATGTTTAACGTGGGATGGTGGTTATTCCTAGTTATTAGGCATAAATGGTTTCTAAAATCTAGTAGAAAAGAAACGTTTAAGATGGACCTTTAAATAATCTAGGAGAAAAGAAACATTTAGGATGGACCATTAAATAGGTGGGTCGGATTTATTTAAAATATAATCAAAGGTGCAAATTAGTTTGGCTAAAACCAAAACACAACAACAACAATCTTATGGTTAGGTAGAAAGTCACCCTTAAAACATTTGAGCATTTCTTAAATTCAAATCCGACTTTAATGCAAAACTCATACAAATGTAACAGAGCATATATGGGTGAAAATAGACCACATTAGGAAGTATGCACAATATTCCATTACAGCATTATCACATGAATATAACATATTACAACCTAATAAGTCATTGATTTCTCACTATAGAACCCTTAATCCCCAATTTCATGTTACCCCACTAAACCCTAAGTCTCTAACTAGAGACTCACCTTGAATGTAAGAAGAAGTAGCGGTCAAACAGAGGTAAAAGATGATGAATCAAGGAATTGAAGTTGGTCGCATGATGAGATGATGAGCTTGACAATGGCTTTTCTTCTCTTTGACGTTCTCTTTCTCTTCCTCTCTACAAAATCTGATTTCGTGATAAAGTGAGAATGAGGCCAAGCCAAACAACCCCTAATTATTATCATTTAAGTAGGTTAAAGACCATAATACCCCCTTCACTCATTTAAGTCTCTCGTTCTTCTTCTTGTAATGGTGTGTTTATCTCGGTATTTTTCGTTTTCTTTTTGTTGATGATTTTTCGCTCTTTTTGTTCGTGTTTATTTAAGTTCTAATTCTTCGTTTTTCTTCTCCAGGATTGGTTTATATATCATAATTTTATCCGCTTCTTTTAAGACATTAATAATTGAAGTGGAGAATAAAATTGGATTAAAATGGAATAATTAAATACAAGATGCACGTTTTGTATATTTATTTTGTTCGGAAGGGTGTGAATACAAGATGCACGTTTTGTATATTTATTTTGTTCGGAAGGGTGTGAATACAAGATGCACGTTTTGTATATTTATTTTGTTCGGAAGGGTGTGAATACAAGATGCACGTTTTGTTTAAGTTTTGATTATTGTAATTTAATCTTTGTTTTTTTAATAAATTAAAATCACATTAAGAAAAAAAAATTAGATATATATTCTTTTAATTTCGAGTAAACTAACCGACACACATTTTATTTACTCGTTTTTCGTTTAAAAATAAATGACGAATTAATTCTTTTTTCTCAGATTAAAAAGAGATAATTGAATGTACAACCTTTTATCTTCGAATAAATGAATGCAAAAAATGTATATCTTGTTTAAGTTCAAATACTCGTCTTCCACCTAATAACAATGTCAATCAATAAACTCTCATTTTCTGCCATAGTGCAAACAAATTTTTATTTTCAATCAACATACTGTTTCTGCCTCTGCACGATTAAACACTTTTTTTGTATAAGATCATTCAACCCACAAGTTTTTACTACCTTGAACTATTATATTGTCCAAAAAATACAGGTGTATGTATGTACTCCTTGTAAGGGCAAGGAGACTCAAAGGCCTTAGTAGGTATATTACAAGTCCACGACCGCCATAGCGCAAACAAACTTTTATTTTCTATCAACAAATTTTTTTCCGTCTCCTTAATTATTCTTTCATCTAAAATCAACCAACCCACAAATATTTGCTACCCATAATTATGTAGCTTTGAATTCCCCATCGCACCTGAGAATACGTAAGAGCAATATATGCATCTTGTCAAGCACCCTAATAAAAAAATTCTTTTTTTCCTTTTCTTGTAAATATGTCGTAATAAATAGGAGAAAGAAAACACTTTAAGGATAACACTTTTATTTGCAAAATTAATTAAAGGTAATTATTGTTTACAATTGATGTTATGGGGTGGGTGCTAATATCGTTCTCACGCATAACCGACTCCCGAACATGGATTTGGTTGCGATGACCATATTTTTATTCTTTTAGGGTTTTGTCAACATTTTTCCTTTAAAAACAAACTTTTGTGATGACTTCATTGTCATTCAAGTGTTTTCGTACTCAGGTATTTTTCGTATCGCGATAGTTGACAAATTCATTGGAAAATTTACTGGAGAAAATTTACTAGGGAGAAAATGATTAAACGACTGGTGCCAATGATGAATGGGCTTTGAAAATTTAAAATGATAGGTTCCAATGGTGATTAGGCTCTAAAAAGTTAAAAGACGGGGGTCGATGATGATCGGGCATTGGAGGTGCCAGTAAAAATTGGGCTTTAAAAGTTAAAAGACGGGTGACAATGAAGATTGGGATTTGATTGTGCCGATGAAAATTTGGCTATGAATATGAGTGAAAATTAAACATGTTTAATGTTATGTGTCATGGTTGCATAATGATTTATGTTATGCACGATGAAGCCTTTAAGAACTCAATATGTTCCAACTAGCAAGGAACATATTTCTTAAGAGCATATGTGATATTACATAAATGTTTTCCTGTCCATCGTTGTAAGGATCAAAGATCTATTGGATAAAGCCTTTTTTGCAACGTACAAGCCTTCATAGTTTGAGTTCCACTTTCTGAGAGAATCCTTTTAAATAGGCAATATCTTTTTTAACACCAAGTCACCTTCCTTGAACTCTCAAGGGAGAACTTTCTTGTCGAATGCTCTTTTAAATATGCTTTGATACAGTTGAGCATGACATAAAGTTATCATCCTCTTTGAAAAAGAAAATTTAACAAAAAAGAGTCTTTACACAAACCAAGAAAAGAATAAATGACCTAAATGTTGAGGTTGAAAAGGATGTGAGCTTGTAGTCAGCAACGAAGAGACGCAAGTGAAAACTTTTGAAGAGTACCTGAACTAAAGGTTGAAGAGTACTTTCAATCAACAAATCTTTTCCCGCCTCTTAAACTCTTCTTTTATCTAAAATCAATCAACCCATAATTTTTTGCCACCCATAACTATGTAGCGTTGAATTTCCCATCATACCAGGGAATATGTAGGAGTAATATATGTATCTTGTCAAGCTCCCTAATAAAAAATTATTTTATTTCTTTTCTTGTAAATATATCGTAATAAATAAGAGAAATCAAACACTTTAAGGCTAACACTTTTATACGCAAAATTAATTAAAGGTAGTTGTTGTCATATTCCATTCTAAGTCATTTATGGGATTTTGGCCCACCCACAGGTTCTGCTAAATCGGTGCGATGAAAGTGATTTCATGATTTTTAGGCGGGGTGATGAAAGTGAATTCATGTTTTTTTTCATTTCTGTTTTTTATTTTCTTAACATTTTTAAATTTTAGAGACTTATATCCATAGTTATGCAAGTAATAGATTTTTTCATTTGTATAATCAATATAATTTTGCAAAATAGTAACGGTTGAAGAGTTATATTAGAGATCTTAAACAAAATAATATGACTATTTAAAAAATTTATTCGGTGATAACTGATATATGAGATCAATTGACTCTTTTGAAATCTATGACACCCTTATTTTTATTATTATTAAAAAAATATTTTATATTATTTGATTAATTAATTAATATTGATATTAATATAAAAGAGTTGATGGAATTTTTTGTATTGATATTAATATTGATAAAAAAAAATTTGAGTCTGTTTTTTGTATGTGAATTTTGCATTGGTTAAATGTTAGTAAAGTAAAATATGTCTACTTGTTTTCATTTTGCTTTGGACTTTTACATTGATTCCCATGTCTTGACCTGGTTGTTTGTAATGCCTTAATTGCCTTGGATATGTAAGTTGAATGTTGCATAAATATTAACCCTCGTACATATGTTGCATGTATGCTGCTGATGGTGATGATAATCTAATATAAGATGGAACTTGTCATGCGTTGTAACAGGTTAGCAGGCGTGTCACGACAAATGGGCTGGTTGTTCCAGCTGCAAGTATGAAGACTTAGGTTTAGGATAGATCTCCAGGTAGTTTTCTTTGTAATTTTCCTTAATGATGTAATGGCAATTGAACTTTGTAATGGATGAAATTTGAACCAATTGTTATTTACTTTGCACTTCTCTTGCGTGAACATAATGAAAGTCCCAAAGAGGATTAAAAATGGACTTTGGTTACAGTTTTACCATAAAATATTCAACTTGAAATTTCTTGACTTTGAGAGGCCATATCTTGAGTTCTAACGCACCAAATGATGAGCTCATTGCCTTGAATGATAGGTTGCAAGAAGCACAACAACTTTTATGTTGATCCTCACTCGATAGAAGGCTTAGACCTTTATGAAAAATAACTTTGAAGTCAGCTACTCAAAACTGCCTTAACTCTAAAAAATTCCTGAGTGTTTATCATTCAAAAACAAATGAATCTTCCACTTCATGGTCCAGTATCTTTCTATCTATGCATCTTTGGAACTCATTATTTTTGGAAAGTTTGTAATATGAAACGAGGTCTTTCCATCAAGCTTTTGGTTGCAAAATTTGGTGACCAAATGAGGAAGCTACAAGTGTGACAAGTCAATCAAATGAACACCCATTTGTTATACTTAAAAAAATTTCCCAAATCTCCAAAATTGCTTCTTTTACAAGTAAACTTGATTTCAAGGATTCTAATGGGTCAAACTCAATCAATAGCCATGTTAACTCATCAATTGAATTTTAAACCTCAAATTTTACCATTTGACTCTCTGTTGATCTTTCGAATCAA